TGATTCTATTGAAGTAATTGGTGTTTATCTCCCAGCAGTGTCAACATGTATTTGACTGTTTGCATAAAATCTATAATATTTGCAGTCTGTAGGGGTTTTTTTAAGCAGAAATTGTAGGATGCATCATTATGTTGGATATAGATGTTGTGGTATGACAGATATCTTGTGCTTATATAAGCCTTTCAAATTTTATAATGTATGGAGAACTTTAAATTTCAGTGAATCAAATATCAGTGATTGAATCCTGAAATCTGTTTTACATGCATGAGGGGTTAATTTTGTGAGTGGTAGTGAGGTGGAGAGAAGGCTTTCTATTTTTTATCTTGGGGTGGTCTTTAGTTGTAGGAACTAAGCTATAAAAAACCCCATACATGTAGAAATAAGTACTGGTTTCAGAGACATTTTTATGCTGACAGCTACTGCATGAGCAGTGTGTTATAAATACGGTCACAAAGAAGTTTATTTGGCTACATTGTGATTCTTTTTCGCCGCTGAAGTAAAAAAAAAGCCTATGTTTCTTCTCGTTTGCTAATTTTAAGACTTACGCATTAAACATTGACATCCAAGTGTCCAGACTGTGGCGATTTACAATGTATTTGTTATACTTATTATACTTTAGAGAGAGAAACACAAGCTGAATCCAAACAGAAACCAGCAAATTAATGTGAGAAAAGTAAGAACAAGAAAAGAAGAGTGGGAGAGAAGGAAAATGGGCATTGAGTTCATGAGTGACGCAAAGAAAATGGAACAGGCAGGAAGCATGAAAGAGGACAAAATGCCCAAAGGGTTTGTCATTTTGTTTTACTCAAAGCCCTGGCTTTTTGTTGCTTACCTTGCTTCCAGTCTTACAGATAAGTGCATCTGTTCACTGTGTTCACTAAAAGCCAGGCTGCATGATTGTTCATTACTAAAACAACTATTTGCAGTAATGGGATGAAGAGATCCTTTTGCTCCCTCTCTTGGGCTTATTTGACAGAGCATTCTAGACTTTGTATCTTTATGAACTCTCTGCTCAACTAATATTTACATTTCCCAGTTTCTCTAAGCCTTTCCAGCAAAATTAATCGTGCAAACAAAACAAGAAGTGCTTTCTAACTTTTGAAATTGGTTTTCTCTGCTTTGGTAAATATATTCTTCTGTATAATTGTGAGTGCAGTATTGCTTGCAGTATTGCTTTCCTTTTTCTGCTGCCATTGTTAACTTAAGGCAGGCCTGATAAGTACTATCATTTCAAACAATGGACTGTGAAAATCATCGACAAAACCAATATGCCTCCTTATGGCTACTGAAGAACTCTGAAATCTGGAAAAAGCTCTAAATTTTTTTTGCCTTTTTTGAAGTCTGCATTATAGGAGGACAGTCTGCATGCAGCTAGTATGTTGAAATATTGAAAACATTGAATTTCAGGCCTTTTTCGCTGACTTGTCAGACTAATTTATTTTCAAGTCGTGTTAAGCTGAACCATGATTTTTTGTTGCATTTGTTCTTGTGCTTTCTGTGGACTGACAAAGGCTTGATAATCAGGGATTCCTGTTGCAAGAAAAATAATTCTGATTGCATTCTTTTTAGCTTTTCTTGTGCGTTATGTAGATAATACCCTGTTACACTCACATAATCTGTTCTTCTGCATGCATTTACTTTAATTTTAGGTCCCATGCATCTGATGTTACAGATTATTCCTATCCTGCTACTCCGAATCATTCCCTCCATCAGCAGATAGCAATGCCTTCATATGGAACAGGAGATGGTCCACAGTACATGGCAGCATCCCAAAGCCATGAGCATGAATACAGACCACCTTCCACCACTGTACGACATGCTACTTTAAACAGACCTCAGCAACCACCTCCACCTCCACCCCAGCCTTCAGACGGCCAACATAGCTCAGTACCTGTGGGACCAGCAGAATATGGGTAAAACTCCTCATTTATTCCAGTGGATTCTTGACAAAACTAGAGGGATGCATGTTTTTCATAACCATCGTAACATATAGTGCATACACACGAAAAAGACCCAAATACATTAGTTATCTCCCTGGGGAGGACAGAAAAAAATTGTTATAATTTCTATGTATGAACTGGTTTTAAGTGAACAAACAGTGAAAGCACAAATAATGAACTGTGTATTGAATATGGTGAAATCAATATGCTTGTAAAATATTAAGGGTTCCTAATATAATATTAAAAAGGGGATAATTTTCCTTTAAAGTGGAAAATAGTTACAGCATAATTTGAATGATACTTTAAACTTCAGGAAATGTGCAGAAAAAGTATTGCTGAATGTGATTAACGTGGCAGTCTGTGTTGCATCCCTGAAATGACTTTTTAAAGGAGCTTATGACAGAATTGGACACAGAATCAAGTTCCCTACTGCCATAAACACCTCCATAATTCAAGATAATGAAGTTATCAAACTCCTGTGTAGATATTTTGCCTGAATGCATTCTGAAGGAAGGCTTGCTCCAGAGTACTGGCTCTCCAATAGCAAGAAAACATCTGTTTTCTAACCAGTCTGTGCCTGTTTGTTCTTTTTTTTAAATAGCTTAAACTTTCAAGTTGTAACCCTAGGAAAGTTGTAATCATTCTTGCCTGTGTCGTTTTAAACTAAGCAAGCCAAGATTTTTCAGCCTCACTTGATGCATCCCGGGATAGCATTTGTCCGATTCATGACTGTATCGTGCTGTAGATTACTCAGTTATGCTATGATTGACTGCTCCAACTTGCATTTTCTCTGTTATTTCCAGTTTATAACAGAAATACTTGTGCTTAGGCCCCAGGTACATGACCTTTGTCAGTGTATTACAGTTGTCATACATTGACATATATCACTGAATGTCATCAGTAACTTTCCTTCAACTCCTGTCTCCTATATCTAGTTCTTTACCTACTTCATAACTCCTATATTAATTCCCATTTTTTCTGCTTAAGAATTCTTTTAATGACATTTTAACAAGGAAATTAGCTCTTTCCTGTTCCTACTCTTTAAAGTATCAATCAAATATATCAATTTAATTGAATATTTAAATTGATAACTTGACTAAAGAAGCACATGAGATGCATGATATACCTTTGGGTAAATCTTTCCGTTCATACTTTCCATTGTCCTCCATGCCTATGTCTTTTATTGTGTCTTAATATTTGTTCTAACACTTGGTCTTCTATGGAAGTGATACGTGTGGTCTGCAGCTTTCTTGGTCCCTTCTCCATCATAGGCATTGTACTTAATATTCTCACAGAATAGATGTTTAGTAACAAATACAGCTTTATCCTTAACTAGGCAGGAGTATTAAGATAAAAATCTCACTTTGTGGAGTGCTGAAAGGACACTGCCTTTAACTTTGTCATCTGCCTTAAATCTCAATGTATTATCTATATTTGACAATTCATATGTTTATAATCACTTGCATATTTAACTCACCATTTGAAATTCCTTTTGATTTTTTTTTAGCTGAGGTTGGATGAGAGCAGTTTAAGGGGTGATGATTCCATAAGTCTAACTTTCAATGCATTAAATGTTTTTGTTCTGTTTTATATAGGATGCTTCCAGCTCAGATGGTGGATTATTACAATCCTACAGGTCCTCCCCCTCCTCCTCCTCCTCCTATGATTCCTTCAGCACAAACTGCATTTGTTAGTCCCCTTCAGCTTCCTGTGCCACCTTCCCATTCTGGACTGGTGACTGGCTCTACATATGCAGCCACTCATCCTCCTCCTTCTAGTGGGCTTGTTGTCACTGCTCCTCCTCCTCCCGGCCCACCTCCTCCCCCTCCAGGCCCTCCTGCTGCAAGTTCATCCCTCTCTTCCTCCCCAATGCATGCTCCTCCAGCTACGGAGGCAAAACGTCATGAGCCTGCACAGCCGCCTATAAGTGACGCACGGAGTGATCTTCTTGCTGCCATTCGAATGGGTAAGTGCACACTCAGTTTTAGCTATTTCTTTTTTTCAATGAAAGCACTGTGTTTTCCAGTGATCTGAGTTCATGGCTTCTGTTCCCAGCTGGGCAGAATGTCATTGAGAGACTGGTGAACCACAGGTGCCACGCACCTGTTCTAACATTTGTCAACCCTCACTTTGGATTTTTTCTGAAGCCTAATGTTCCAGGAAGTACAGCTTTGTTAAATATGTTCTAGTGTTTGTGTGAACACAATCAAGTGAAAACAGTACTTGTGTTCGTTATGTAAAGTAGCCAGTAGATGTTTGGTTCTGTTTGGAAGAACTGAGTTATCCAACACCAGGCTTCAGCCCACTGATTTTTAATCAGTGACTAATGGCTGTTTCTGACTTTGCTTACAATATGGAGCTGTAGATCTAATGGTATTTCCAAACACAAGTATGAAAACTTTTATCTTCAGATCAAAAGGACCTGTACAGTCTTGAATATTTAGTTTTAATGTATTTGCAGTTTTAGAAGTCTAGAAGTATTCAGTCTCTGAGAATGACTTCTAATCTGCCTTTTTTGTCTTTCTACCTTCCTTGCTCAAGGAGCGTCTGTAACTCAGTGGTTTCTTTTTTTTTTTCTCTTCTTCCTGAATATATTGCTAGAATACAAAAAACTCACCAATAACAATATGAAATTTAAAATCTCTTGTGCAGAAAACTTTGTCTGAGAGTAATTGTCTCTACAGGAATTCAGCTGAAAAAGGTGCAGGAGCAACGTGAGCAAGAAGCAAAGCGAGAGCCTGTTGGAAATGATGTGGCAACCATCCTTTCAAGACGCATTGCCGTGGAATACAGTGATTCTGATGATGATTCAGAGTTTGAGAACGATTGGTCAGATTGAACCTGGTCCAAGCCCAGTGGCAAGTTCATTAAACACTTGGCTTTAGTGATTGCTTTCTTAGCAAGATGTAAAGCAGGACGTTGACATGTATTAAGGCTAGTGATCGAAGTACTAAAATTGAATTGGTATTATTCAGAATGCTGTAGCTTAGCAACTCTGGTAATAACGATGTGATTATGCTTATGCAGATCAGAAACTTGTCTTACTTTCAGTATTTACCGCATAATACTTAAGTGCCACTAAATGTAGCAAATCATGTGCTGCGTGCAAAATATGCTGCAGTTGTTGCACTGTTACAGAACCAGCATTATATTTTACTTTCCTGATCTTGAAGGGATAAAATATATTTTTTTGACTTTACATCGTATTCTTTTAATTATGTAAGCAACTTAGGTACTTGTGAATTGGTCTGGTTGTTAGTGTTTGAGGGCAGTTAACTATATGACTGAGTGAAGTGTTGAGTTCCATAAATATGACTTTTAGCTTTTTTATTAGTTACTAATTATGCCCACCTTAGTCTATTTTTAATCACTTTTGGGCTTAATTTTTTTTGCATACAGAATTGATTTTATATAATCTTTCTTTTTATCTTAAAAATGTAGCAGGTGATGAAATGCATGCTTTGAAGAATGAATCCACATGATCCAAAATTAACATTTTGTGAGCAGACTGGATAAGTTTGTAACAGTACCAGTTCTAGGTTGCTGGCCACTTGTTGGGTAGAGTGCTGGGGGGCTCTCAGGTAGGTAGCGGATGCATGTCCATGTTACAAATGAAAGTTAAAATACCTGTAGAGCTTTTCAGTTTTACAATGCAGATAAACTAGATGCAAAGATTTCAGGATAGACCTGATTGAAGCCATATGGTTTTTGCAGTGTAGAAATGTTACTCTGTTATTACTAAAGATTGGAACAGTCCAGATCTAGCAATCAGACACATTTCACAAGTAATAAACTTGGTCTTTATGCCTGTAGGTATAAAAGTTTGTAAATAAGTTTTGTTGTTGTTGATTGGTACGTGTATAGTCATGCAGACTGTTTTCTGTTTCCTGTAGCACATTTACTCAAAACTACTATTACTTTGAATGTATTTCTTTCCCAGTACATCCCATTGATAAAACATTGGCAATTAAAGCAGTTTTAATGGCTGTTGAGGTACTATACCATATATATACACACTTGTTTTCTCCTTCCCCAGGAACAGTTGCTGCCATACAGTCTGCTTTGGCTGTCTGTTTTCTGGAAAAATAATTCCTTTTTTTTTTTCAGTACAGTATTAAAATGGGTTTTTTTTTGCTTTTATTTTTTCTTTCTTCTGGACTGAGAGTCAGGCTGCTGCTTTGCCCAATGAGGCTTTTAAAAATGTATTCATAGGAGGGGAAGAGTTCTTTCCGTAACAGATTACAGTTTTAATCTTTGTAACTGAAGTCCGTGTAATTCCAGGTCTAACATTTGGTAAAGCTCCTTTGTTTTGTGAGGCCCCGTCTGTTCTTTTTTTAAAAAAAAAAAAAGTAGTATGTAAAATAAAAAGAGAAATGGAAGATAATTATCTAACCTGTGTTTACACAATTAACAGTTTTAGTCCTGAGAATGTAACAGTCTAACACGATGTTTGCATGCATACTATTGGCTACTGCATTGCTATTTAATCTGCATATGATTTTTCAATCTGTGGTGGCTGTCTTTATGGTAGGGTGATAACAGGCTGCCTCAATGTTGATGTTAAAATTTATCACATAAAGTATGACCAATCTCTGCATAATGGTGAGCAACTACAGCTCTTGATAATTGGTGGCAGCTGAAGGTACTCATCTCTGTTTCAGTTGGAGCTGGTTTTGTCTTTGCCTTAAAATACAGAGCTGAAGTCTGCTTTATTTTGTGTCCTGGAGTCTGAGGTCTGTGTATCCACCACAGAGGACAGAATTTAGCCCATAGCCTGATAGTGGTTTTCATCACTGTACGAGAGATGGTTTGTTCTGATCATCACGGTGTGCTTGCACCGTGGCTTGCAAAATGATTCTTTGGACGGGTAGGCTAAAAGTGCAACTGGGACTGCAGTGTTATGTCGCTGTATTGGTGGGGAGAGTATTCTAAGTATTCTTTTAATACATGCTGAAATAAAACATCTCCACAGAAGATTCTTTCCAATCTACTGACATTTGATATGACAGAAGATATATTTTATGAGCACAGAAGTTGGGTGTGTCTGAAATTTTGTAATTTGTGTTAATTTTAAATAATAAGCATTAAACAAGCAATCAGTTGTGACCAGTTAAGATAGCATAGATCTTTCAGTCGTAGTAGCCAACCTGTTTTTCTGAACCTGCAATGTTGTCATTTTCCTTTCAGCATTTTATTAATAAAATGTGAATTGAATTTAGTGATGTAAACTAACATTATTCTAGGCTGTTTTTATCAGTTTTATCTTACTTTGAGTTGTGAATAAGTAACAAATACGAATAAAATCTCACTTTTAAGCCTGTCTTTCTTTTCTTAGATTAGTAAGATTTTGCTATTAATCTGTATCCCTTATCAATAAATAACTGAAATGAAAAAGTGAGGCTTCCAAATGCTATCTGTGATCCCAGGAACCACGATTTTGCTGGGATGGAGGCTGGAGTCTACAAAACCAGACCCCTTTAAGGTACTGCTGCTCCTCCTAACATGCATACTACTTTGTTCTTTTGCAACCTTGATCCAAGCTCCAAGTTGAAGTTCATGGCTGGTGTAAACAGATATTTTTTTTCCCTACAGGTAGCTTTAATATTTTTTTTAAGTGAAATGCATTAAACAGCAGCTTTGCTTCCAGAAAGAACAGGGCAGAATATATGACTTGTATTAGCAAGTCCCCACTTGCTTCCCCACTTTCTTAATAAGAAAGTGTCTTTGTACGTTAATGACACCAAGCACAATATTGTAAAATGTAAACCCGTGTCTGCCTACTAGAAAAATATTTTTAATTTAATCTTTTAATTGTAATCGGGTTTTAACCTGGTATGGTAACAGGAGAGGCTTTTCATCATACTGGGAAGAACTTACATAAACCAATTGTGTAATATAGTAGCCTAATTATAGTAGCCATTTGTTTATGCATCTTAGACTTGGTTCTTTCCTGGGAAAATAAATTAATCTTTACTCTGTTCAGCTGAAAATTCCAGTCTGTGTGGCGCTTAGTTCTTATTTTGCTGAAATTTTCCATCTTTGATTTGAACTTAATTCAGGTAATTTAGAGCAAAGTCACCAATTCTACATAGAAACTGAATACATGAGCTTGCAATTTTGCTTCAAAGGCTATTGTTGTAAAGCATTTATAACGGCTCATTTATCAGTTGGGGTTGGAGTTAGCACTGACAGTCACTCAGCGTACTACCTCTGCAGCTTTTATGGTTGTCTTTTGAATGTTAAAAAAATATTTCCATGTGACTAAAACTGACATCAGTTGGATTTTTAGATATTTCAGATTTCTCTGTACTAAGATGAACTGCATGAAGAAGAGAAAAAATCTTTATTGTAAGAGAGGTGCATGCTGTTCAGAACAAGCTCAAAATTGAGCTCGTTTGTGGTATGCAGATGGAGTTGGGAGGAGGGGAAATGACTCCTTGGGAAATTGAAGCTTGTGATGTATTTTGCAGGTATGTTATTTCTCATGTGCTGGGGACACATAGTTTTAATAATGAAGAGGTGTTCCCTTCCACTTGAAACAACACACCTAAGGGTACAGCAAATGTGTAATTTCTAAAAATGTTTAAAATCTGACTCTAAACTGAACTGAGTATAAACCTGATGATAATTAAAATTTCATTAGAATTTTGTGGATGGAAGCTGAAGTTGCACAAATTCAATCTTGAGCTGAGGTACTATTTCCTAGCAGTGGAGTAAAATAAATATTAGAACAACTTATCCAAAGATGGCTTTGACAGTGGATTTTTTTTTTTTTTTTTAAGGTGACATTACACTTTTCTCTTCCTGAAAAACCAAATAAACAGAAATCCAACTGGCTGTAGTCTGCTTTGGGGAGAAAGATTCTTGCCCTGTGGGGGCAGCCAGCCTGAATTGTTAATTCTGAGTCTGAGGCGTTCCTGGTATGAGTACGTACGTACATACACACACACACACGTATGCACATGTACATACATGCACACACACAGAAGTCCAAGGATTTTCAGCATCTTGAGGCAGCTCTGTATTCAGGTACTTAGGCATTGTCAGTATGCTCAGTGATATACAGGGAATGAAAATAAATTATGATCCCTGCTAGAATCCCTCAGGCCCTGGTGTCTGCCACAGAATAGTCAGGAGAGACTTGAGCTTGTCACTGAACACCGTTCCCAATTCCCTTGGACTTTAAAGGAAGTGTGGGAACTCTGGGAGACTGTGGGTTTCCAGTCGACCATCATCTTTCATTAAAGAGTGAAGAGAAAGAATGAGAATGCTGAAAAAAATGTCCTTTAAGTACAAAACAGGGAGAAGCAATTTCATATTTTGCTTTCTCTACTAATAGGTAGAGGCAAAGAATGGTTTTTCATGTACTGTGAAATACCTGCAGGTTTGTCTGGAGAAATGTGTTCTCATCTGTGGGTGACACAGGTGTGGAAAGCAGTCTCATATGTTTGTGCTGGACTGGGCTTTTTTTCAACTACATAAGAAAATAAGTAGCCCCTAAGAGATTCTTAGCTAAATATAGTAGTCTCTTTGGAGATTAATTCTTACTGCTGCAGATAAATAGAGAAGTTCTTATCTGATTAGCCAGAGCAGGGACTACTTCTGCGCTTTTGTCTTGGTGAGGGGTCATGTGCAGAGTGTTTTGGAGATTAGAGATGAGGGCAACTGTTTCTGAGATGTCTCAACATCTTGTCTTAGATGTGTTGCCTTTCCGAGTCACTCGGCATTTTCAATTGCTCACACGCTGTCATACCACATGAAAACTATCTGCCCTGTTCAGCAGTCTCTCACATTGCCAATGCAGTGTAGGTTAAAGGAAGGGAGAGAGGGCTGGGAATCTGACAGTTACCCTAATGCCAGTTAATAGTGGGCAGTCTGTCCCATCTGTCTTTGACAGCAACCCTAGACAGGAGTCCTACCAACTATACTGAAGGGGATGGCAGAGCCCATCTAAGTCTGTTTTCTCTGTTGTTCTTGAAAATCAAGCTCTCTCTTGATGTCTGCCAGTTTAGTTTTCTGAGTAATCCTGCTGTTAATGTTTTACTTTTCTAGTGAATGTAACTTTCTAGTCCCTTACCAGTTACCTTTCTCTGACTTGCTGAATGGCCTGTGCCCGTAGCTTGTCACCCTTCAAAAACTGGATGCAGTGACCAGCTGTTGTAGAAATGCCTTTGCTCTCCTGAAGTCAGTAGCC